ACCGTCACATTATAACGCCCCCACGGCTGAAAGGGCGAGCATGTTTGGTGGGACGGGGATTCGAACCCGTGATCCTCAGATTGTGAGTCGTGCGCCCTAACCACTTGGCCATGCCGGGCTCAGATACAAGGATACGTAGTTTTAAGAAAGCGATAAGAGACATCGGGATACTAAGTTCCATAGTTTTAAGAAAGCGAATAGTGATATTAGGATACAAGGCTACGTAGTTTTAAGAAAGCGATAAGAGACATCGGGATACTAAGTTCCATAGTTTTAAGAAAGCGAATAGTGATATTAGGATACAAGGCTACGTAGTTTTTTTATCGCTTTCTTAAAACTATGGAACTTAGTATCCCGATGTCTCAAGAAAGCGAATAATGATATTAGGATACAGGGTTACGTAGTTTAAAAATATTTCAATAATTTATCTTAGGATACTGGTTATTTAATTGCAAGAAATCCGTTATGTTATTTTAGGATATCGTTTTCCTTAGTTCTAAGTAAACGATAAGCGTTTAAGATACCAGATTCCTTAGTTATGAGTTATCCAGGATTTTTGACACCACAGAAATAAAAACAGCAGCTAATGTCGTTTATCGCAACTCGTAGCCTTTGTGCCTCGTGAGGATTTTTCATTAATCAAACTTTTTAAACTGATCGTTCACACTGTATTTATTTATAATAAAAGTATAACTCGGAGCCTTTGTGCCTCATGAGGATTTTCCATTTATAAAACTTTTTAAACTGATCGGCCACACCGTATTTATCAATAATAAAACTACTTGTGCTTAATGTACGTGTAATTAAGGTGTTTAGAATTGACAAAATAATCACAAGAGTGGTTCTCTTAGTTACTTGAAAAATTATAGAAATACTTTTGTTTTTCTGTTTAAAGTATCTTATAATATCCATAAATACAGAGACACGTTCTTTGAAACTTCTTTGGTACCATTAACTCTATGGACCACTTACGTGACACTCAATAAAGTAGAACAAGATACGGAAGTACGTGCGTCGAGTAGCAAGTGGTGAACCATTGCTATAAACTGACGACAGCAGTTCATAAACGATGGGTCGCAAGAGATATCGTGGTGGGTCACAGAACAATTAAGATATATTAAAATAATAAATACATTTTTAGTTTAAGATGATAAAATTTTGATTCCAAAATGTGTTTGAACAAACAGAATATAAGAACACTATTAAGCTTTACTGAAAGACATGTTAAACAGTAACCTTACCCTCCTGTTATTGAGCATAGGTTACAGAAAATTACAGGTGGATCGCGAGTTGGGAAAGTTTGGAACCCACTGGTTTAACTCATAGTGGATCGTATTTCAGGTGGCTAGAAAGTTGGGAAAGTTTGGAACCCACTGGTTTAACTCATAGTGGATCGTATTTCAGGTGGCTAGAAAGTTGGGAAAGTTTGGAACCCACTGGTTTAACTCACAGTGGCTCGTATTTCAGGTGGCTCGAAAGTTAGGAAACTTTGGAAACTACTGGTTTATCTCATAGTGGCCCGTATTTCAGGTGGCTCGAAAGTTAGGAAACTTTGGAAACTACTGGTTTATCTCATAGTGGCCCGTATTTCAGGTGGCTCGAAAGTTAGGAAACTTTGGAAACTACTGGTTTATCTCATAGTGGCCCGTATTTCAGGTGGTTCGAAAGTTGGGAAAGTTTGGAACCCACTGGTTTAACTCATAGTGGCCCGTACTTCA